AAGGGTATATTTCTTTCGAATTTTACAATCTTACTGAATATTATGTAGATAAACTTATCGATTTTGATGGTTTTTTGAAGAAGCTGATCAATTCTCCTCTTTCTTCTTTGCAGGGCCCCAAACAACCAGGTACTTTCAAGAACCAACTCATTATTTATCAATTTGAGCAATTTTTTAAAGTCTGTTATCGACCTTACAATATTGGTTGAACCATCTTCGATGCATCCATTTCTCTATCGAAAATGATACAGAGGAACATTCGCTCGAGAAAGGTAATTAACCCTCGAGGAAAAACTGATTTTGAAAAATTTTGTCCGAAAAACATACCCCCTCTTACAAATGCTCGTTTTGGTTTAGCTAAATATTTATCTTACCCATCTTGGGTAAAAACACTCAACCCATTTTACCTTGAGAAAAAAGCAATCCCTGTAAAGAACCGAATTACTTACGCGAAATGTTCCCTGTATGACTTTCCTCGAAGGAGATGGTGGCCACTATGTTGGGTCGATAACACTAATCCTCCCCCTGGTAAATGACTATAACCAAGAAAATCTCTTGAGTTTTTTCATTGTACTTATCTCATCTCTTTTCTGTGTTGTGTTACACAACTGCCATTTCTCAACGTGTTCCCCAACACGATGAACAAAACCCCGATTGGGAAAGTGATGATAATGATGATGCTAAATCATCGTTAAAAGGTCACAAAAGAAAGACCGCTGCTGACAAGGTTTCTTTGCGCTCTAAGGTATCATTTTTGGACTTTCCTTTTCAATCGTTCAATCGAATTCTTACCTTTATTTGACGTTTACCTCTCATGCTTTTCTTTCAGAGTCTTGAGACCTCGAAAAAACAAAGAACAGATTCGGCTAGTACCAAAACTGTAAGTAAATGTTGCCTTAATATGTTTTTTCTTTCTATCTCGAATCTTAACCATAAACACTTTTTTTATAGGTTTCAACCACGAAAAAGCAAGATAAGGGGAAGGGGAAGATGATAATTTCTCTTTCCAAGAAACCTCAGAAACCCCCAACCGAGAAGCTGCTCAAGGATGCAATGAAATCAGTCTCTAAGGTATATTAGCTTTTAGTTCTTATTTCATTTTTATGTATGTGACTTGAACTTTTATCATGACGTTTTAGGAGGTCGAAATCATTCATATTGACTCCTCTCATGAGATGTCGAGAGATGTTCCTCTAATCACTGGGGCATCTCAACAGGTTTGAGGCCGAGATTGAGAAGTTGCAAGCTGACGCCCATGCTATCAAAATGGATTCACTGAAGAAGTTTACGCAAGGTTTTGATGCGGCGACTTCTCAGATAAAATTTCTGCATGCTGATCTCGACACTGGGGGAATGGGCTACTTTAAGGAGATTGTAAATGGTGAACTGGTGGATCCTCCCGAGGATGACTGAGTGCTGCCTCATAATGTTGTTCTTACCTTCACATTTTCATGTTTTTTGTTGAGTTAATGAGGGAGACAGAGAGACTTGACCAGTTCCTTTGGGAGCAATTCTGGATCCATCTGCTAAGGTAATAAGGTGAGGGGATTTAAGTGGGGACATGGTAGAAAACATAAACTTATTACCAGTTATGTGATCAGAGGCTCCTGAATCAATAATCCATGGACTTTGATTTGCAGTTGAATAAGAAATACAAGCTGTAGAAACAGTAGTGGTAGAGAAAGATTGAGCTTGATTCATAGATTTCCATTGAAGATATTTTTGATAATCATCTTTAGGGACCATTCTATCAGTTTTTTTCAATTTCTTAGACTTGGACAGATTTGCTATCTTCTCGGGAAAACCATGAAGAGAATAACAATTCTCTTGGATATGACCTATCCTCTTGCAGTATGAGCATTGAGAACGAACACTTCTCCCTTGACTAGAAACCATTGTAGAAGCTTCAACCTGACCTGGAGAAGAAGGAAACCCTAACAGACCCAGAAATAGAGACAAAGAGAAGATGAACAGTGACCGCAACCCAAACGACCAACTGGAACAACACACTGAGGTCTGAAAGACAGCTTAGGCGAGCACAACGATGGCGGCGCGGTGGACTTCCGATGGCCAGAAGGCGGCGCGTGAGACACACGCGCGTGACGGACCACACAATTGAAGCGGCGCGTGGGAGCGCGTGGAGACTTCGATGAACACAAAACCACCAGGGTTGGGTCGCACTCAACAAGGCGCACCAAACCCTAAGTTCGCCGGAGAATTTGGTCGCCGGCAGCGGCGGCGGACGGTGGCGGACGACAGCAGCGGCGGACGACAGCGAACGACAGAGCGGGATCGGACCCGCTCTGATACCAACTTGAATATTAGGGTTTGAGAAAAATAGTGTGTTATACACACTTCTCTCCTTTTTTATTATATATAATATATTGAGTACATAAAATGGAAGAGACCCCAGGAGTCTAAGACACACATCAAACATATAAAAGAAATAATAATAAATACATAGGCTTCTCTAATAAGCTATTCTAACAAAGACAAACTCAATTTTCTGACATGCAGCATATGAGAGAGATATGTGCAGCAAAAAGAACAAACAACATAACGAAAAAGACAAACCTTTTGGCTGACTGGCAGGGGTTTTATTAGAGGCTGTTCCAATTTTAACAAAACTAACCTATCTCTACGGTAAACAAAACCAATTATACTCATCATATAATGGAGGGGAAACATTACATTCAGAGGATCCCTTGAAGATCAAACTTACCTTGAGAGGAAAATCTTTTAAGGAGAGTTTCTTGTAAGCGAGTTTCCTATCCACTTCATTTATTCTGTAAGCTATAACATCTTTATCATTATTGCTGGAAAAAAAACTGCACGTCAATCTTTTATCCTTGGTTTAAAGAATGTCATTACTCATATTACCTGGAATAGCTGCCAATGCAGCAATCTAATTCAATTCTTGGTGCAAATCAATGAGTTCCCCTTTAGGAGTTGAACCTGATTATATAAAGGGGAATTAGGTTGTCTTATCTTGATCAATGGTATAATCTACATTCAGTCAAATTCATTGAAATGATTATCTATGTACTATCCCTAACTGAACCCTTTTTCACACGTTAAGTTAATAACTAATGCAGGTTAAATCAGATGGCAATTCTTCATTGGGACTTAAGCTCGAGTTCACTTCTACCAGCAACCAAAGAGCGTCTATACTTCTCACATCCCATGCAGTGAATCATTTCTCAAGCAATTTCAGCAAAGTAATCATGACTCATGAACACAAGGGATTATCCTCTGGTTGGGTGTAGTTGCAATGAATGGATACACTTTATCAGAAATCCATGCAGTGTGTTATATATCAGATTCACCATTCAATGAAATACGATATCAACACAGATCAACTAGCAATGATGAAACTCTGGCTCCCCCATCAAATTATTTTGCACTTCTTGGTCATATCACAATCAAGACTTCTGACTATAACTCTATAAGTCAGATTTTCCTGTGTCTTCTTCTTGGCTAGTTGAAGGTAGCTGCATAAAATGGACATCAGACCCTCTGGGTTCAAAGACCGCTGATGTTAAAATTTCTTAGGAACTGAAAAATGGAAATAATTATCTATTTCTAAAATACAACTTGTGTGCCTGGTTAAACACCAAGTGGATATTTTAGCCGATCCAGGAAATGATGATTCAGTTAATTCTGGTGCTGACCGAGAAATTAGGACAGGTGATGAGGTGCTGGCAGAAAATGATCCAGCTGCTAACAAGGGTCCAGACCAACCAGTTGCTTGGTGCTGATCATGAAGTACCACCCCTTGATCCAGCTGTTGATATGGCTCCAGTCCGGCCAAGTGCAATCACTGTTGCTAGATCCCAGAAGGCAAAGGAAAAATTGGTGAATGTTGCAGCTGCTAGAACGTGGTTTATTGTGTGCAGTGCCAACTTTTAGGCTCTGGCTTCTACTCCTACTCTTACTTCTACTACGAGTTTTGCTTCTACGATAGTGCCTACTACCATTATCATAATCCCTGCTGCTTTCTCTCTCTATGTACCCTAATTTTAGAATTCTTCCTAAGTCCTAACTCAATTTAAAACTTTTGTTCTACCTTAGTTTAATCACTTAGACAATTGTCAGAATGCACAAGGAAAAAAATCATAAAAACATCATCTATAGCTACCCAGTTGAACAAGAACAGGAACATTTTTTATATATGATTGTTCAATACAAACCGTTACATTAATATGTTTCACATCAATGATTGTTTGAATTGTTAAAACTAAATGGTGCCAGACAAATTATTCAGAGAGAATGTGAAAACAAGAAATAGTAAAAATTAAATGACTATCAGTCCAACCCAAAATAATGTTACGAACTCTTCAACTTTCACTAATATTGGAAACTATCGTAGAATCAGAAATTTGAAAGCGGAAGAGAACAACATACCCGCAGGAGTTAGGCTTTTAGATGATGATGCTTTTCACGATCTGAGAAGAGTCTGGGTGCTTACGATTAACGTTCTCGCAGAATCAGAATCAGAACAACAAAAGGGCTTTCTTTGGAGAACGATGGGAAGCAAATGGATTTCTTCAGAGAGGACGAAGGCTTTCTTTAGAGATGGCGCGCGGAGAACGATGGGAATGCAAATGGCTTTCTTCAGAGACGACGAAGGCTTTCTTTAGAGATGGCGCGCACGAGGGCTTCCAGTGCACGCAAGTGAGGAGTTCTACATCGGTCATACAGTGAATGTAGATATATTTATGTTTTTCTCTTATTTACAAAATTTTTACCGTCTTTTTAGTGCTACATCGGTCTCTCAATAAACTAATGTAAAATACTTAATATTTAGATGTAAATTTGCTTTATATTTTTTAGATAATTACAAAAATGTCACTACATTTTATTTCTACATCAGTTTTACTAAAACTAATGTAAAATTAGCAATGTTGATGAATCCTTTTTTAGTAGTGAAATTTACAATATACTGAATTCTGATGAATAGAACAGTTAAGATTAATAAAATATAGGGAACTTTTACTAACCACGTTGTGTAGGAACAGAAGCTTAGGGTTGTGGCTGGCTATGTAGTGTGAGAACACATAAATGTGACCACTGCAATAGATTGAATTAAAAAGTATAAAACATAGGATTAGATTATGAACCTCTTATCTCTCCTCTCAAAACTCATTAACAGAATTATCGATAATGGATTGGGATTTGGGAATGATCTCTCTCTTAACTTCCTAAAAAATCATCTCCCTCTCCATCAAATCCTTCAATCAAAAAGAAAGTCGTCTTGCTTTTATTTACCTAAAAACTTGACAAAATTTTTTATAACATTAAATTTTAAAAAAAAAAATACTTCAAAAATAATTAATTTAATATTAAACAAGTCCTCCTATTTTATTTTAAAAATTTAGTTTCTTCTGCTCACAAATTCACATTTTCCTTTTTCTAAAATTTCTATTAAGCTGTATTTTTAATTAGTTTAATTAAAAAAAATTATTTTTAATTTTTTTATAAAGTAATTAAATTCTCAAATCATTGTATTTAGAAAAATTGTTAGCAAGTATATATTATACCATTCAAGCGATTGTTACTAACTACTCACAGCACATCACACATTGATGTATTATAACGTGAAATAATGATATAAGATTTAATTATTTTAATGTAACCAATAACATATTAATTATTTTTGTTATCATTAGTATAAAAAATATTTATTTATTATTTATTGTTAATGGACTAATTTCTTTGATATTATATATAAAGAGATTGAGAGAGGATTATCTATTTTTCTAAACTTTCGTTCATATTCCATTGTTTTGGATATTATTTATAAGAGTCCGATGTATTTGACATTGAGTTCATGAATTTGAACACATTCCATATAAATCCTGGAAAGCAAATCGATTATTAAATTATGTTAGAGATCTTCCGAAAAGTTTCCTTATTGATATAATAATTTTTTTAAAAAAATAAAAATAATATTAAAAATTTAATAGTTTTATAAATACTAAAGAGATTTTATTATGATTTGAGTTATAATTTTTATAATCTTTTGATTTAATATTGACGGAATAAAGTTGTCATCGATTGGGCTTATGGGTTTTTTCCACTTTTGAGCTCCTAAACCCATTATCAGAGACCAAGCCCAACCCAGCTCTAGCTTAACAGTGGGCTAAATATTCATTCTTCCCTCCGAAATTTAACAACACAACGCCACTCCCTCGCCCTAGCAGACATTCAAGACTCCCTCGCCAGCCCCGACACCTCCTTCCCTATTAGGTATTCTTCCCTGTTAGGTATTCTCACTCTGTTAGGTATTTTACTTTCATTCTTCGCCGGCTACGACACCTCCTAATTATGCGTTTCGCTTATGAAATCGGGAAATCTGGGACTAGTTATTTGGAAATTCTATGTCATTGTATTTGTTGGAGTGGTTTAGGTATTTTACTTTCCTTCTTCGCCGGCCACGACACCTTGATTGTCATTGTATATGTTGGAGTGGTTGGTTGCATTTTGTTGTATTTTTTAATTAAAGGACGAGAAGAAAATGATGTTTTATTTGCTCAAATTACTAAATATAAAGGAAAATCAAATATATTATATGAGATTAAATGGAAAACCTTGATCTGGGCCTATGAAGGGGCCCAAAACCCAAGGGTGAAAATTTTCAATCAAATCAGTTTCTACTCTTATTAGTTTGCTTTTTCTATCATTCTATACTGGGACAATAATGAGGTAGATGAACCTTGTCGAATTACAAAATGATCATGGCTTCTAAATTTGGGAGAGTTTCTTTTTGTGTTGCTTTTGTTTTTTAATTTTAAGAGTTGGAACGTGAAAGGGTAATGATGTGCTTGTGTTATATTTTTGTATCAATTGATCCTTCAAGAAGAAAACGAAAGTTGATTCTTTGTGCTTTATGAGTGAGTTGGATATTGAATTTGAAGTTTGTAATGAGTGAACACAAAAAGTAAATTAGTTCTATGTATAAATGTTCATATCGTTTATGTGATGCAGTTTGGTTGTTTCTACATGCGTATTGTTAGTTATCCATGTGAGCTAAGAGATAAACATTGTGCAATTTGCTCATGGAAATTCCCCCTTCACATTTTGTTTCCACCCAAATAAGTTTACAGAAACTTGTTCTGTTTTGTGAGTCTCAACAAGAACAAACTTTGAATGTCAAGTAACATATTATAGAGGGGGTAGCATTTCTGTTTTAGACTTGTTAATTCTTGAATGAACTAAGTGTGTTCATTTCTGTGATAAATCTTTTGATGCATTTTGTAATGTTGAACTAGGTTCCTCTGCGAGAGTAAAATTGTTTGGTGCAAGTGATATACCAAATGTGTATTTTTTAATTAAAGAATTGGTCAGATTTTATGTTTTATAAATATAAAGGAAAATCAAATGATTCAGCAGCTTCCGGAAACAATTTGTTACAATTCTGTTATTGCTTTACTGTTTGTTGTGGGTTATGCGCGAGAAATAATTCTCTTTTAGGAGACCCTCTATCCTCAAATTCAGAGTATGTTAAAATCACATCAGAAATAATTACATGAATCTTGATATAGATTTTTACATGTTGATTTTACTATATTTTTATCCACTTACTATGTAGAAATTAAAAGATTGTCATGAAGTTTGTGTATAAGACTATGAATGTGGATGTAGATTTTGAAACTCATCCTGTATGTGAAATGGTAGGTGAAAGCTTTTTCCATTAATTTAATCTCATAATTTAATTAGAGTATCCCACAACTTTGTGCTTCTTTTTCCATTAATTAATTGATAAAAGTGAATCTGCTATAAATTACTTGGTGCAAGTTAACAACAGTTTTGCTATGTACGTACTTATTGTCTTTGTACTTATTGATAATTGAGAAATTGAAGTTCGTCACAGTAATGGATTTGATAATGGTTAGATAATGAAAATGAAATGAATGACTGGCCTTGATTCATTTGTTTTTTAGTTCTGTTTCATTTATTCTGCATATAAGAGTGGCAAAAGTTTGATCAGCTGATCCAGTTGCATCTCTATGTAGTAGAATCCAATTTATTAAAACTGGATATGAGATTTACAAGGTCAATTGGTATTTTTGTTTAAATGAATTGACGACCTTTCATTGAATATGGCATACAGGTCTTTCTGCCCTCAAAATATGGCAAAGTTAAGCTAAGCATGCTTGAACAACTTCATGCTGAGCCAATGAAAGTACACAGTGACCAAAATTGTAGGGAGAGTCAATGACACCAAGAAGAAATAGTACTTATTATAATTATCAAAAGAAAAATAGGAAAATAATGAGTTTTTCTTTCTTATTTGGGGAGAGGTAATAGTAATTACAAAGATAACAACAATTTCTTATCAAGAAATTATACCATAAACAAAATATTTGTTATTTGTTCCAATGGTGAATTTATTAGTTGCAACATAATCACAACACACACGTTAAATTTATTTTTCTCATTTTAGAAGAGTCCAGAAAAGGGTGATGATGTTTTGATGGTGGAAAACTTAATTTAAGGCACTAACTCAAATTATGCATTTAGCAATTACATAAATCCAGACCTAAATTTGGAGGATCCCATGTCCAAAAGAAAGAATCACTAAGGAAGCTAGGACAACCATCATGTTGGACCAAGAGACAAATGGTACCTGATTAAGTACTTATCAAAAATCACCTCCCTCGTCCTGATCTCCAACATGTTCGTTGGTTCTTCTATCAAAAACCATTTCCCTAACATTATTTCCTAAAGCATCACCAAGAGAGTTATTTTCTACAAAATCATTGTCTGAAGGATGTGAGGAGGTCCAAGCTGTTTAGTCTAGGCTACAATAGAGTATGGAATCTTTCGTTACTATAGACATTAATGCTATCGATCAGGATAAGTTGATGAGGCTATGACTACAGATAACCAACACTATCAGTCTTCTTGAAGATGATTGATTTAATCAAGATTTGCATATAGTTTACAATTCTGTACACAAATAACACCCCTAATACTGGAAGGAGTATAATGTGGTGCCACCTAATTAACACCTTTAATAAAGTGAATGTTGAGAACAGATCAGGAGATTTCTCTTGAAAATTCAGGTGTTGATTTGTTTATATCCTTCTATAATCTTTTAGCCATAATCTCGTTTCCGATTTTCATATATACCTAAAAACAAACTTCGGTTCTTCCCTTAGAGGTTTACAAGAAAAGGAGACACAAACATGGAGCAAACCTCAAAACTTTACAGATACACAACATGACAAGAACACAACCCAGTTTAATTTGCGTAATCGAGTAAGTAAAGAAATCATATCATGTTCTAAAGAATCTAAACCAACCAAATCAAATCTTGTCATGAATGAACACACTATAACCTCTCAGTGTGTGGCACGAATAAGATTTTCATGAAACACAGTAACACACCCATTATCATCATCAAACGAGCATGAATGACATGTTCATGAAACGCAGTAACATACCCATTATCAGCATCACACGACACAAAACAATTTATACAAAAACCCATGACAGAACATATTGCAATTTCAAGCCCTTACATTCTACACCCTAAATTATGCCCTCCCCAAAATCGACAATTATGTTGAAAAACCATTGACATGAAAGTAAAAACCTACAGAATCGCATCTCAATATCAGGACTAATTAATTAATTATTTACCAGTCATTTTGCAATGCAGAAATGAGGGCAATGTTTGAAGGTGAGAGAAGCTTGGAAATAACAACAAAGAAATACCCAACAAAGAAAATAGAGCCAATTGAGACAAACAATCATCCCCGCAATTTTCTCTCATCAAATGAAGCCAACCACCGCATAGAATCAGCGAACCTTAAACACAATCAAACAAATTCCTCGGAAGGGATTTTTCTAAAAAAACAAAAATTAGAGCTTTGGATTATAATAACAGACTCGAGTTTAGTTCCATGGTTTATGCCAATTTGGGTTACACAAAAATTAATTAATAGAAGAAAATCACAGTTAAGAAGAAGCCTTGACTAAAGCACACACCTTTGAAACTTGAAGGTTGTCACTTCCATGTACTAAGCAAACTACGAAACTCCTATCTATATTGAGAAGTTGCGTTCTGT